CCCCCCCGGCTAAGGTAATGCAGCCAAGGCTCCAGAATGGTCTGGACCTTGGGGTTTTTTAAAAAAAAAATTAGCTATATTCAAAGGGAGTTATGCCTTATATGCCTTTTGTGAATAGGCATCCTGCATTATATAGTTTATATTTTATGTTTTATGAGTGCAAGTTGATAAAGTCTAAACTGAAGAGGTATATTAAAATCATTAATCTGATATAATGAGGCTAAGTAGCAATAGAGTATGCATGTTTTATATGTTTATATTTTAATGTTTAAGTAGATTTGGATCTGATAGAATGTAAAGTTGTAAGACAAGTATTGAAAATTAAATGTAATTCTTAGTGGGATAGTTACCTGTATCCTGAGGGGAATATAGGGCTATGTAAATATTACCCATATTCTTGATAGTGTAAATGTTTTGTTATATATGTATATTCTTGACACCCTTGTTGATATTTATGGTTCACTTTTATTTATCTGTTTTCTATTTGTTCTAGGTTAGTTAATTTCCTGTGTAGTGTGAAGCTCTTGAGATGGGATAATCCTTTAGTTGCTATTTATAGAATATAGTATTGTATAAGTGATCATATATTGTATGTACACGTTGTCTGTAAATCTTACATATAGTAATAAATGTGTATACATTTAAGATGTAAACTGTGGATCTGAATGTCTATGGGGGAGGGAAAACTCCATGTAGCCAGAAGTTCTCCCACCACAGAGCACCTGCCCTGCCAACATCTCCCTTCAGCTGGAGAAGGGAGTATACAACCAGGTACACCCAGGTAGCACCTCCGTTCCATATTATGACTGTTGAAGTCTCCGACAGATACAGATGAGTGTTCAGGAGTCAGTAGGGCTGGATGGGGCCATTTTTCATTGGATGGCTTCTAAATGGTAACAACTGTCCATTTACCAAGCTTAATGGATGTCATGCCAATGCCTCGGTTTTCAGTGGACGATAGTTTTGTGTAGTCAGATATCTCATTCTTCATGTAGATTGCAAGACCATATTTTTGGTTGTAAATGTTGGTGGCAAGCTTATAGCCATCTATCTTATAGAGGCAGGCTCGTTCCTTGCTCTTAACATGGGTTTCCTGAAGTGCTAAGACATCAATCAAATTTGTCTTTAGCATCTTTCTCAAAGTCACAGTTGGCTCTCGAAAGACCCTCAACATTCAGGTGGCAGCTCCATGTCCCAATGCCTAATCTTCTGAATGAAGAACAATTAAAAAGGCCCTTAAAAGGGCTTTTTTAATTTCTATGGTTGTTGCTCCATTGACCAATAGGCCATTGGGTGTCCAGTTGCCATTGTGATGACATTAGTTGTTGATGTTCCTATTTTGGACTTCGATGTAGCAGGGTGGACCATGAGCAAGCTATCATCTTCCAGCCCATACTTCAAAAATGTTCAGCCCTGGCTTAACAAGTTTTCCAGCCTGGCTTGCCATCAGGCTCTGACCACTTCACCCTCACTTCTGGACTTTCTGGGTCGTTCCTCCTCACAGTTATCCCACCTGCCACAACTTGATATTATAGCTTCATAGGGAGGCTACCCCCAGGAAGCAGATGCAAGTTTTGGGGTTGGTCCTTGTCTGAACTCAGGACCTTCTAAGCCTTGGGTCACTTTTAATCTGGCTGGATCCTGCTGCCTGGAGTCCACTGCACCATGACCTTAGGTTCTTGGGTTTCTGCTCTAGCCCCTCACTGGCTCTGAGCCACTTGGCCCCTAGGCACACCCCTGGCAGGCACAGGAATTATGCTCCCTGTGCCTGCTTCCTGTGCCCACTCCCCATGCCTGCAGATGTCCAGTCCTCTGACAAGCCACAGTCTTCTCCCTAAATGTATCTGGACTTCTGCCTGTACTCAACACCCCAGGGTTCAGGGCTGCAGAATCTCTGTGAGCTGGGTGCCTCTTCCACACCCCAGTGGCCTCCAATCCACCCCTAATATCCACAGTGATCCTCTGATTTAAACATAAATCAAAAGCATGAGCATCTGCTCTCAAAACACCAAGATCACCAAGCACAGTGTTTCCTTGTCATGGTTAATCTCACCCCACAGTAACACTAACACAAAGGTCAGAGGTACTTAGTCTTCACTGCTCCAGGTGCAGGCTCCCTTCCATCCTCCTGTGGCACAGTCTTCCCTCTGTAGGCTGCCCAGGTGGATTCTGCCCAGGAGATCTGCCTCCTCCAGATCATATAATCTGACTGCCCTTCTAGGCCAGATCCTCAGCCTTATGAGATGCCCCAAGCCTGCCAATTGCTATCTGCACCTGGGGCCAACAGCTATTTTACTTAAGGCTCCCTTTGTCTGTTCAGAGGAGTAGGAATGGCCTGCAGGCTCCAGGCCCCTCCACCCTTCAGTAAAGGGGCAAGACCCTATTACAGATGTATAAATGGAAATGCAGGGAGAAAAGGAAAGCCAGGGCATGAATAAGGATTGTGAGGGGGAGGACCTAGGAAAAGGGGCAAAGAGCAGCAAAAGGAGGAATGAAGCTGAGGAAACAGACAAAGTTAAAAGGAAGGAATGAGGAAAATAAAGAGAGACCCAAGGACTAGCAAACTTAGCAAAGTTTAACCTTGTGTTACATCATAAGGTTTCTGTGGGCGCAGACAAAAGTTACCTTTTTTTGAGCAATCGCCCCCCCGAAAGTGCTCTACAGCCATGCCATGATATACGTACATGGCTGCACAGCACTTTTAAAGTGGCTTATCATGTAAAAAATTAACCCACCTTAAATGAGGTATCAGATGAAGGTGCTCTAAAGTAGAGCAGCTTTGGGACTTGTGTTCCCAAGGCTTAATTTGTCATGCCATCAGGGCTGGGCTACATCAGCCCAGCCCCATCCCCCAGGCTGTCAGCAGGAAGGAAGGGGGCAGAGGGGAGGGGGAAGCTAAAAGTAGCAAGCTGCTGGCTGGGGTTTGCCCAATCTGAGCTGCAGTGGCGGGTGATGGGGGCAGGTGGTTTCAGAGTCCCCTACCTCATAACCCAGGCCAGGCAAACCCCAGCCAGTGTCTTGCTGCTGCTGCTTTCCTCTTCCCCTGCTGCTAACAGCCCTGGAGTGGGAGTGAAAGGGGGCAAGGTTGGAGAAAGGAGTGGCTCCGCAGCTGGCTGCTCACCTGCAGGCAGGCTTGAAGCCCCTCCAACTCAACAGGCAAACATCTATTGAGTTGGGGAGGGGGCTGTTCTAACTCATGGCGCTTTATGTAAAGTGCCACGAGTTAGAGCGGGGACCTGCATGTCTGTCAGCACCCTATCTGGGGCAATCCCTTGTTGAAGTATGGGTCCCACAAGCTGATATGGAAAAAGTGGATGGATGAGAGTATTGTACATGTAAAACAGCTTCTAGTAGGAAATCATATTAAATTCTTTCCTGAGTTATGGGATGAAGGTAACCTTCCAAAACCAACTAAATGGTAATATATGTGGTTGCAAGTATTAGAAAATCAGTTTGGACTTGAGTCTTTGGGTGTAGCAAATACACCAGATATATTCTTTTTTTGCCTTGAAATCTGTTTCTCTTCCGCATCCCTTGGCATCACTCTATGAGTATATAATGTCACATAACAGAGAGACCTAATACATGCTATTTACAATTGAAGCAGAATGAAAACCTAGGTATTCCATATGGCAGAATCCCAGTGGAAATTAGCAATTCACAGCATTCAAACATCAACAATTGATCTTGGACTTTGTCTTATACAACAAAAATCATCTTTCATCTATACTTCGCTCCCTCTCAACGTAAAAATTAAATATACTTCCAGTAAATACATGTTGGAGATGCAATGCACTGCAAGCATCACCTGTTTTGGTTATGCCCTATTATCAACTCTTTTTGGAAAGAAATTATACCTACAGTTAACAGGGTTTTGAACACAGCATGGATACCTTTGGCAAATGTGTGTGTTCTTGGGTACATCCTGAAGGAATTTAAACAGAATCTTTCCCATATTGCACTATTACAGGGGGCCTAATTAGTCGTATGCAATATTATATTAGTGCATTGGAAGAGTAGGACATCTCCAAAGGTAAAATGGTTGAAATCTGGTACAATGAGATAGCACAGCTGGCATGTATGGGGAGAGTCACACTTAGCAGGCTAAACTGCTTTAAAATGTTTAATGCAATTCAGAAAGAATTCTTGGAGTATTTTGGTGATTAAAATATTAGTCCTTGCATACTTTTCTTCTTCTATCCCTCCCCCTTCTTCTACCTCACCCTTCTTTTGATTTTTCCTTTCCCCTTTATTACTTATTGTGACAGACATTTACATAGTTCATATATAGTTGATAAATATATTTCTGAAGTTTGTATTACATTTATAAAAATAAGAGCGAGACAGAGAGAGAGAGAGGCATCCAGGGAAGGCTGAGGAAGAATGAAAAGAGTAAAAAAAGGCTAGGAAACCTCCCTGGCCACAGTCTGACTCACCCTTGCCAGATCCATTAGCATCTCCTTTTCACGGCAGATTCCAATTCTCTTCCCTCACAGAAGCAGCAGATAATAAACAAGTCTGCCAACAGAATAAGCAAAACATTAGGATGCCTGCTGGACCAATCGGGGCGACGCAAATGGAAAGAACACATCAGTTCCCATTATTAATATGTTCTATATTAGTGTCATTATAGATAATTACATGAATTGGTTTCACAGCCTGAGCCTTCCTTGGCCTGTTCCAAACAGTAATCTCAGTGATTCATGACCAGTGGTTACATAACATGGATTGTCAACGAGTTAATTGTGCACATGGAAAAGGCTCTCAAGATACATGTGTGTACAGTGAGTCACTTTAGATTCTCTGGGTTGACATTTGCATCCTAGGCCAAGTTTGCCTGTGATACACAGGCATTTCTTGTGAGGTTTCCAGATTGCACAGGATGGGTACTGACACTAGAGCATACAGGGTAAGGGGGAAAAAGGTGCCCCTCAGATATCCAGTTTCTGCTTAGAGTAGCAAATTGCCTTACCGCAGCAAAACATGCAAGAATGCAGGCAGACCCTCCACGTATAGAAGCTGTGCTCACAGGCTGGAAATAGAAAAAAAAAAGAGCAGCACAAAGCCGAGAGGAATGGCTGTGACATTAGAGGGACTGCAATGAGGAGAGATTTTACTTCCACTCCACAAAATAGCAAAGAGTGCGAGAGAGAGAGATTCCCTTACGTTCTAAAGAACCATAAAAGGACCGGAGGTTGGATGGGCATCTGGCTGGGGTCATCTGAACCCAGCACTCTTTCCTGCCTATGCAGGGGGTGGGACTTAATGATCTATTGAGGTCCTTTCTCACCCTAACATCTATGAATCTATGAATCTATGACTTTCCTTTCCACAGCTAAAAAAAAGACAAAAGCACACAACCCTGGGACAAGTAAAAGATGCATCAGCAACAGCAGTAGGACATGGAATAGCCTGAAGCTGAATCAGAGAAGAGCCAAGGAGACATAAATAATCCTTGGCAGGTAATGGGGAAGAATGACCTTGAAACATGGGGAAGCCACATCAGCAGCACATCCATGGTGTATTATAACTACCACTGGCAAAGACCAGAAATCCCTGTCCTTGCACAGCTTGTCACACCAACAGAGATGTCTTTATTTGATTTGATTTGCATCACCTGTCAAGCAGGCATTGCAACAGAGAAAACCAGCCATGGCCATGGCACCTCCACCTCCTGGAGAGTGTCAGAAATAGGAGCAGGTTCTAGAAGAGAATTGACACCTCTTTCCCTCTGCCTGTCTCAGGAACTGAGTAAGAGATAGGCCACCTCTCCTGAGCGAGGCAGACTCTGAAGGCAGCCACTCTGATTTCAGCGATCTCCTACCAGATCTTCAGTCAATCTTTTCCAAAATAAGTTACAAGAATGAGGACTTCTCCTGAGCACAGTCATGCCTCCTGTAGTAAATGAAAAGCAGCACATGAAGGAGGCAGAAAGAATTTAAACTGCCAAAACTGGGGGCAAATACATTTTTTCACTGCAAACAGTTTGTTTGGATCAACTGAAGTAATTTGTGAATTTAGCTAGGTTTGTGTGAATTATTTCAGTCAAATAAAGGTGGGGGAATGTCCAAAAAATGGCAAAAAATTTGTCTTGCTTGTTTTTAATTTTGAACCGGTGTTTTGTTTCAAACCTTGCTTAATTTTTATTTTTCTAAAAAAAGTAATTTTCCTCCTTAAAACCTACTAAAATACTTTTGTCAATCTCAGGTTTTTTTTTCAGGTTTCTGTTTCAGCAGGGAAACTGGAAATAACTGGGATCAATCCAAAATGACTCTTTTCTCCTCATTTTTAGGTTCACTGAGTAAACTGAAAAGGCAAATATTTGCCCAGCTCCAAAAAAAACCAAACCACAACTAATGTCAGCAGCAGCAATTGAGGATGATTTCTACCATAGCTCATTAATGGGATTTGAGGTGACTTAAGAGTCCAATCTTTGAGCCACAGAGCTGTCCACAGAAGTTGCAGGCCTTTCTGAAGAGGAGAGTAGGTCGTGATTCCTCTCCTTTTCCTTTCTCTGCTCTCTCTTCTCTGCTTCGAGGGCAAGATGCTTTACCTCAAAGCAGGCTGCCACTTGGTTGAGGTTACAGCACTATTGGAGCTAGTTAGCAGCCAGTTCCTCCCAGCTTTTGAAGTCAGCATCCATTTTCTTGAGGTATACCTTCAATATGTTCTTGTAGCATTTCCTCTGGCTACTGTGAGATCTCAGGCTGCAATTAAGTTGGGAGTAGAGGGCTTGCTTTAGGAATTGAAAGTCAGGCATCCACATACAGTGTCAGGTCCAGTGAAGTTGATGCTTGAGCATATTGACTCAATGCTGGTAACGCTGACTACAGCAATGTACTCACCCAGTGGTAAACAAGGCTGATGCAGAGACAACCAACAAGGGAATCCTTCAAAGTCATCATGTCGGTTCTGGCCTGTAGGCACAGACCAGAACCTGCTGCAAATGCAGACAGTATTGAAGGCAACATGGGAACGTACCTGGGTATTTAAGATGGGATTTATATGGGCAGTCAGGGCCAATTCCTGGATTGTTTCTGACTGTAATATCACTTGGTTTTACTACAGCCAACCTTCTTTTTTATGGGACAGAATCTTTTAGACTGGCTGCCCACAGAAACAGTGCAAGAAGCCCTCATATTTACTGACCAATGTACTTACACCACTCATTCCAGCAGTTCCCAAGCACCTGATAATGACTCTTCTGTCATTTCTATTCACTGGGCTTCTTCGTAAGTCTTGCCATGTCACTTAAAGCCTGATACAGACACTGAGAAAGGTGTTCTCATTGTCTGTGACCCTCTATCTGTGGACTATATCAGCCTTGCCATGATTATGGCCACTGGAGTTCACAGCTGCTAACAATGGTACTCTCTTTTATTCTTCCTGCACCATACTTAAATTAGTAAGAGTAATGTAAACATATGGAGTGTCTAAGGTGGGGCTTCCCAATCTTTCCTTAGCATGACCCCTTTTAAACACTGGAATTTTTATGTAACCCCAAAATGATCCAGGCAAGAGCAACAAGGAATCAAATTTCCACTTTCGTATCTTGCACTCCTTTCATTCTTCGTTCTCATCCTGGTCATTAGTTTTACTGGTAGAACTCAAAGCAGAAACGTTTTGGAGAAAAACATTCACGTTTGATTTCTCTGACCTGTAAAACGTATTTCAGTCAGCCAGTATCGACATACTGATTTTACGTCAGCTTCCTGTAACATCTTGCTTTGGATGAATAACTGCCCTGCGTGAGAGTTGCATATGCATAAACAAGAAGCATATTCATCATAATTGATCAACACTTTCAAGCATCTTTGCTACCCCATTTTTATCATTGCAACCCCAAATGGGGTTACAACCCTAAGGTTGGGTACTGTTGGTCTAAGGGCAACTCTAATTTGCACTCATGTGCTTGATTAGGGTATGAGAGAAGATATAACACAGTAGGTTGGATCTACCTACTCCTCTACTTACCACAGCTGTAGCATTTGGGCCCTGTGGGCATCAGGTTTGCAGTAAGGGATGCCCCATTCTTGTGCTAGGAAAGCATGTTGGCATGACATATATACCACTGCAGCAGTATTTTAGTGCATCAAACCCTCTATTTCCAGTATCTTGTACACCAGAGGAATAACTGTGCAGGTGGACCTTCCCATTTCTATTTGTTACTTCTTTAGCTTAGCACACTGGACAGACCAGCCTATAGGAAAATATCTCTTGGGGACCGTGCAATGAACTCCAGTTCCTCCCACACCAGTGCTTACAAATCCACAGTTAATATGCATGCAGTACTTTGAACATGTAAAGCACTATCTAAATGCTAAGTATTACTATAATGTTCCCCTCCTTGTTGTCAGTTCCCTCCACTAACACATGTACACCACCTTCCCCACCTCCCTTTTTAGCACATTCACAGCATCAGAAAGTACCCTGTTTTCATACACCATGCCCTTTGCCATCTGATCCTTCAGCCCTCAGAAGCTTTAAATAGTCAGCATTATTATGAAGGCATGTTAGAGCTTGTTCCTAATCACTCCAGGAATAATCCTTGATAGCTCATTGAGTGTATGTGCGTGTGTCCCTGTAACAATGTGTCCCAGCCCTGGCCCTGTTTGAGGTCACTCCTCAAAAAAGAGTCAAAGCCCAGTTCCTGATGGATAAATTAACTGCATATCACAGGAGACCCATACAGCACTGGCACCATAGTTTCGTCTCTCAATGCTATCTATGTGTACAGTAAAGCTCTTTTCAGAGAATCCCTAAAATAAGAACTTACCTTCAGAAAAGAACAGAATGACCACACAGTGATCTGATAGGGTTTTGCCCAGGCTCTTTCTTTAATTGTGAGGACACAGAAAACAATGCAGCAGACCAAAGTGAAAAAAAAAAGCACTCACTGTCTCATGGGCTTGCTCCTTTAAATGGTACACAATAATTCCAGTGTTGCACACTAAAAGGCAAGCCACCTCCTCTACTGTGGGTATAAATCTCTACAGAGAATGTCTGCCACCAAACTGTTTTCACATTAACTATATTTCTTTAAAAGGCCAAAATAAAAAAGGAAAAGGAAGAAGGAATATGTTTCTTACTAACCCAATTTCCTGTGGGTTGCAGAATGTCTGTGATGTCAGTGTAATCCAGGCACAGAAGCAGTGTAGAGGAACCTATACGGAGAGCATTCAATATGAGGAGAGACTAAATAGGTCGGGACTTTTCAGCTTAGAGAAAAAGATGAGGAGAGATATGGGGGTCTATAAAATGAAAGGTGAATGAGGGGAAGAAATGCTAGGGACCTATAAAACAGCATGGAGAAAGTAAATAAGTATTTATTAATTTATCTTGTACACAATACTAGAACTAGGGGACATACAAGGAAATTATTAGAAGGCAGGCTTAAAACAAAGGGAAATTATTTTTCCCACTGCGTAATCACAGGAAAATAGGGCTGGAAGGGACCCCATGAAGTCATAGAGTCCAACCTTCTGTTCAAAGCGCCTGAGTTCCCCAATTGACTTGGGGAACTCATTGCCACATGTTGCAGAGGCTGATCATTTACTCAGGTTCAAAAGAGGATTGAAGAAATTTATGAAGTAAAGGACCATCAGTGGTTATTAAACATTATAGTTAAAGTTGCAGACTTTAAATGAGGACTTCTTATGTCCCTGAAAATACTGGAAGCTATAAGGGCAGAGGGGCAAGGGAAAGATCAGTCTGGACAGTTCCTGCATAAATACTCTTAGCATCTGCCCTGTGCCACAGAGAGGGGCAGGATACCGGGCAAAATGGTCCTGGGTCTGAACCAATCTGGCCTTTCTTAAGTCCTTCGGCTTCTAGGTCCAACCACACTGGGTGTGTCTACACAAGATGCTTTACTGCCCAGTAGAGTTAATTATCCTATAGTAAGTGTCCGCATCTACACATGCAGATATTTACTGCGCAGTAATTTGCTCTAATTGTGAGTAAATTTGCTACCTGCAAATGCAAATAGCAAATTTACTTGAGATTACTTACTGAGCAGTAGCAGACATGTAGATGTTTGATCAGGAGCAAATGTGTTCCTGTTCAGCCAGGCAGCAGCGGGTGGGAGTTTGCTCCCAGCCCCCAGGAGCTGCCTGCTGCCAGGGTGGGCTTTGCCACTGAAGCCTGGGCAGGGACAATGTCCTCCTGCCCTGGCAGTAGGGAG